ACGTATTTGTCCGACATTGAAGTTCCTCTCTGCCTTTTTAAAAATGTATGTGTATATGTTTTAGTTTCACCTGGATGGATTTATTACGTTTTCTTATGTTTGACCATTTTATGCATCAATAAACTTCCAGCACTGAGCTGTCAGCAGTGTTTCTTTCACTAAATGATTATTAGATAAGATTACTAGGAACATACAGTATGTCCACATGCTCCCACTACATCACATTAAGATGCATGTTGAAAACAATTAAAATGTCTTTTGTTTAATGTGCTCCACTGTGGATTTGTGATGCGTTTCAGGACTTTTTATCTCCTCTTCCTCGTCAGAAACTCACACTTGATCAAATCTATTCTGAAGCAAATGATAACACTGGTACAGGTGATGTCATGTCAACCATTCCCCAGTCTGATGTTTGTTATTATATTTACAATATTTGATTGATAAAAAGTGCTGCTCTGTTCCAACTTTAAGAGCAACTGAACAATCCTCTGAAACTCAAAGTTAAAAACCTCTGATATTAGATTATAATAGCCGTAACTAATGTTCATTTCAGTCAACCTTTTTTATCTGTATTTTTTAGAAGAACAATATGTGATTCTTCTTCCTGGTCCTACAGTAGCTTCACTTCCATTTAAGTAAAACACCATCTATGTGTTTAGGCCCTTTAGATGAACGAGTTCCTGTTCACACATTTAAAGATGTGCTGCTGCTTTGATCGAGTATAAACCAGAGCTGACGTGTTACACGCAGGGTATCTGTTAAATCCATCTCCAAGAGAAACACGTCTGCAAAGCACCAATAGAGAACAACCATTTTAACAGATGCAACTATTTCCCAATCTGTGACATCATGATCAGACACGAGGGTGTGTCGAGACATTTAAAGTGTTTTGTCACATCTCGACTCTTCCACCTCTTCATTCTTTCTGTCGACATAAGTATGACTTTACTGGATCAGCAAAATAAAAGAGGGGAGATTATGAGACAGACAGCATGTTGCTGGAACAAAAGTTTATTGAAGCATTTAAAAGGTCAACCAAACTTTAAAAAATACAGAAGATTAAAGCCATATGATGCATTTATTTCTTTGCTAATAGATTAACTGTAAAAAAAATACTGTCTGTTATTCAGACAGCAAAGATGATTACATAAAAAAAAGCTGCAGATATTAATTAAAAAGATTTTGGTCTTCATGTTGACCGGTTTTGTCCATACAGATGTCTTCATTGATCTGGAAGAGAATTAAAGAGAGAAAAAAAAGTTATTTATGATTTGTTTGAAGGTGCTTTATGACATTTGACTCTGTTGAACTCTTGATTATGTAAAATAAATCTCTTTGTTATCGCTGCATTATTACCACGAGCTCCTGGTTTGACTTCAGAATAAACTGCTTCCTCTGCTGCTGCACATCTGGATTTTCCTGTGAATGGAAAGATGATTTTTTTTAATATATATGTTTGCCAGTAATGACCCAGTTAAAAATAATGTACCGTACTGATGTACTGATGCATGTTTTTCTCAGATATGCAAAAAGTAAATATAGTCTACAAAAGAAACACACAAGACAAACTAGATTACGACATTAGGCAGAATAAGTTACAATAATAGTTGAAGGAGGAATCCCGTTTTCTACATCTTAAAAGATGTTTGTTTTGGATGCACACAGAACTCACATCACACTGTGTCAAACACAAGCCTGTTGGAGAGTAACAGCTGCAGGTGGATGTTGACTTTACTCACCTTTAGCTTTCTTATCTTTGGTGCGAGGGTGAACTTGGGCATACAACAAATTGTCATCTAAAACAAAAGAAACATTTTCAGTTATATATCGATGGATGGATGAATAAAGATAAATAAAAATGATGCACACCCAATGAATACAATTTACAAGAAGTCTAAAAGCTGTTATGTACTTATGTGTAGGATTTGACTATTGTGTACATGGCGACACTGGGTGATAGTATTACGATATTACACTGTGGCAGGAAGCACAGCACCCAATGAAGACGTTGGGAAGGCCTGTTGTACTTGAGCGTACCTGCAGCTGATGCCGTCTTCACATCAGAGTAAACAGTGCTCTCGTCCAGTTCCTTATTCTTCCCTGTCACAAAGATAAGATGAGTGCAGGACAAGTCAATCCGGCCCTTTGTTAAGAACTACAAAAACTATTGCATGTAGTTCTCACTACATAAAGTAAATCACTCACTCTTTTTAGGAATGTTTCTAAGCTCAACCACAGAATATGTGAGCCTGGATTCAGCTGAAAGAAAGATTTTTTATATATTAAGGAGATTGTGCATTTCCTGAAATCATCATATATTTCTAACAGCTCTGTGATGAACACAGTATATACTGTACAATGTTCAGGTTCTTTAGAGCCTCTGATTGTTTCATAGAGACAAGCATCACCTACAGAGCAGTGAGAATCAAGACACGTCATATCAATCATTTTAAACACATTATATGAATTGTGTAATCTTCTGAAACAGTTAACAGAAATAGAAATGTTAGGTTTAGA